ATATTTTTTTTTATGCACACTGTAGTTTGAAATATGCACAAAAATGTGTATTTTTGGTCAAAAGTGATTTAAAAAAAAATTAGCTTCTAAACCATGCTTCTGTTTCCTGTCAAAATTGGTTTACGGGTACATCTGTTTACTATGAAGAAAGTGCCGTCTTGAAAACTTTTAGGCGGCGAGAGTCGTGAACTCTCGCGAAATGCGGTATTCTAAATGATCACGAGTTCCCGTGTGTAGATGATTTGCTCGATGTTTTTTTCGGATTTTGATGACGGTGGGAATGATAGTGCAGAAGATCCAGACGCAGTAGACACAGCAATTCATGTTAACAACTCTGTGTGTGTGATTCAGAGCCCGGGCATCAACATCGAAAACAGCGAAGATTTGCATTTTCTTGATCGTCACGTAAAAGAAACCCTTTGAAGCGCTAACAAAAAACCGAAAATAGTGAAAATAAAATAATAAAGACAATCGTGCCTCATTTATACACAAGTATTCGAGTTATTTTGTTGAAATTATTAATAAAAACAGAGTATAACGTAGGTAGACGTGTATTCAGGCTGAAGGACTGGTCGTGTAGTCAAGATGGCGACAGACGTGAAAACGGAAGACGGAATGAAAGTCTATTAAACAAATGCGAGACAGAGAACAACAAAAAACAAGCGTAGTCGGTGAAAATAACAAAATTTGAAGTTTCATGCATCATAAAAACTAAAATTCGAGTATTTTGTCGAAAACGGGGTACAAACTTAGACATGAATTCCGGTTGAAATAGTGTGAGCTATAGTCAATATGGTGACAGACGGAAGAACATACGGATTCAAAGTCTGTTTGAAAAAAAATGCGTGGCAGAGAACAATAAAAAATGAGCATAGTCGATAATATAATAAGATGATTCATGCATCATGAAAACAAAAATATTCAAATATTTTGTCGAAAACATGGTACAAACTGAATATAGCATGAACGGAAACATTACTGCCGTCTGAAACTAACTTATAATTTTATTTAATTAGACAGGAACATATATATTAAAAGTAATATTTACATCTGATAACTATTGTGTGTTCGAAAGATGTGTATTGCGGAAAGAAAACGACTCGTTTGGGGAAAAATACTTGTAGTTCGATACGAAAGTAGTGACATCGCATCGAAGTAAATAAGACGTCATTGTTTACTTGCTCATTATAATATTCCAGCCCAGCTTGCGCTGGGCATACGGCGTTTGACTTTGGTGTTACCATGGAGGTAATAATCTCATTACCTCCATGGTTTTACTATACTACTATGCTGTCTATGGTTAAACAGGGCCCAAATTGATAGGGAGTACAACACGGAAGTGG